CTTCTGTTAACCCAACAATGGGGGAAACAAAAGCAGGGAAACCTTGTACGTGCATGCTCATAGCAGCATTTTTCACAACAACCAACAGGTGAAAGAAGACAAGTGTCCACCAACAGGTGAGTGAATACACAGAATGAGTCTATCCATCCTTTGGAATATTATCCAGCCATAAAGAGGAGTGAAGTACTGACACCTGCTCCAATGTGGATGAACCTTGAACACACTGTGCTAAGTGAAAGAAGCCAGACACAGAGGTCACGTGATTCCATTTATATTTCATGTATTCCATTTAAAGGAAACTAACAGAATAGGTGAATCTATAGAGACAAAAGCATCCTAGTGGTTGCCAGGGGCCAGAGGGAAGGGAGAGGAACGGTTACAGGGTTTTTTGTGGGGTGATAAAGTGTCTTGAAATTAAACGAAGGCTATGGTCACCCAGTATCGTGAATAGCTACCTGTGCTGCCTCACTTTTGCACACTTTAAAATGGTTAATGATTATTTTACGTTATGTGATTTTGCCTACAAAGAAAAAAAAAAAGCAAGGCAACTCAGGGATCCATTTGGCTCCAAAATAGAGAACTTTATTTTTATCTTATTGATTTCAGAGGTAACAGAGATCAGAGAGGTAACAGAGATATTTTGGAGTCACACAGCACAAAGGTTGAGGGCTAGACTCACCCTTTCAACTCAACAAAGGAAAGAAGGGTGGGTGTGGAGGGTGTGTATGGGGTTGAGGGAGTGAAGCAAAGTACCTGGTTCTGCTCCTGCTGTCTTGGGTAACTCTGGGTCTAAATATTTTCCTCACTTGGGCCTCAGTTTCTCTAATTGCTAATTAGGGTGGTTACACTAAGTTATGGAAGGTATTTCTAGTCCCGGAAATCCTAAGGTTTTATCCTTGGTCAACTGTAAAGGCCATTTGGGGATGAATGGAGACTACAGCAGGCTGGATGGAGGAGAGACCAGAGAAAAGACTTCCCACAGCGTAGAGTCAGCAGGGAGCACTTCAGAGGGGCTCTGCAGATTCATTCCGTGCAGAGGCTGCAGCTGAATGGAAAGAGCCTGAGGGAGTCTGCATCTTTCTCCCCCTCTCCACAGGGGCAGGAAGCATAGCTAGAACACGGGGGCAGGGGCGGGTACAGAGGGGAGTAGGATCTTCCCCAACCCTTTCACCTGGGCCATGAGGTTGATGTCTTCTGGAGCTCTGGGGCAGCCCAAGGAGAAGTTCTGTGGCATCTCAAGAAGAGGAAGAGCTCAGAGGAGGCCAAAATGTTTTCCAGGAATGGCAGAGGTGGCCCTGGGAGTGAGGCGACCCCAGGCCCAAAGTAGCAAGAGGACAATGGGGACAATGTGAAATGAGAAGGCTGAGGACACCATACCCCTAATATCACACACCTTCCATCCTGCTGTCCCTCTTAAAGAGCGAATTGTTCTGTTTGTTGTTTCATTTCTGTGGTTGGAGGGGGAAGGTGTACCAGGAGTTGGCAGAGCTCCTGCTAACTCTGAAGAGGCTACAGGGAGCCCAAAGGCAGCAGGTGTTGCAGAAGCCAAAAAGTTAGTGCCTCAGGGTTACGTTCCAAAGCCAGCTTCCCTCGGGCCACTGGTTGGTGAGGAATCTTCCGGACAATGCCTTTACGCTTACAGCACCTCCCTCAAGGAAGAGTGGTGGTACCAGCTGCTGGAATGTGTGGAGCCCAGATTCAGAGTGGTTCCACTACTAGGGTAGCTGTCAGGCATTTTGGTCAAAGGGTGGCATCGCAGCATGAGGGGTCGAGAGTAGCTGGCAGGCAGAACTGGGGGCATTCTGTGGCCTTTGGGGACAGGAATTCATTCTGGGTATCAGAAGAGAGACATGGAGCAGATGTGGCCTGACGGAGGAGACCTGGCTCCATTTGGGATGGGTTTGGGGGCGTGGCTGACGTATTCATTC